CTATTCTTTCTGTCCACCTCACACCCATAATTAATGCCGCCGTACCATTTTATATTAATACCATTTGATCTAGTGACACAGAGAGTATAAAAAAGCCTGACATAATTTAATATGTTGTGGAAGCTGCGGTGTTTATGATGAACTGGCAGTAATCTGACAGCTTCTTGAGGGTAAACACATTTGACATTTTCTCGTTGACCTTATGTCTGCTCTTCCAGGAGCTGAGCTTTGACAGATTCCCCTCTGCATCCTATAGAATCAGTCTGCTTAACAAGCTCCGACTGCTACAGCAGCACGTCCTGTTATCAGATTATGGTCCTGGGTAGAAGTTGCTCAGTCTAGAGCATTTTAACGTGAGCCAGTTGTTCCTTTAGTGAACAATCATGTCATACACTACACTTGGAAAGTTTGGCATCAGAAAGAAGTCTCTTGTGCTCGCCAACTTCATTTATATGATCAAAAATACAGTAAAAACAGTAACATTATGAAATATTATTGCAATTTAAGAACTGTTTTCTATTTAAATATATTTTAAAACATAATTTATTCCTGTGATGCAAAGCTGAATTTTCAGCATCATAACTCCAGGCTTCAGTGTCACATGATGCTTCAGAAATTATTCTAATATGCTGATTTTATGCTTAAACATTTATCATCAATGTCAAAAACAGTTGTGCTGTTTAATATTTTTGAGGAGACCATGTCAAGTTTTTTTTGTTCTGATTATTTGATAAACTGAAAGTTCAAAAATAACAGCATTTATTTGAAACGGAAATATTTTATAACATTATAAATCTATTTACTGTCACTTTTGATCATGTTAATGCATTCTTTCTAAATAAAAGTATTCATTTCTTTACGTATATATGTATATATCTTACTGACCCAAACTTTTGAACGATATCCATGACCGTTTCATGTCCTTTTTTGGCTGGAACAGATATATTATTATAGTTGAATATAATGATACTTAAAGTCCCCATGAAATCAAAATGAAAGTTTTTTGCAGACCACAAAATGTATCGGAGCTATTTGAATTCTACACAGAATGCTATATTTTATAGCAATATGGATTGTGGCTGGCATACCCTGTCAAATGCGACTTTATGGCTCTGAACGGCTCTAGCCCAAGCTGTGATATAAACAAACGCTATTGGCTATTTTAAAGATATGATTCTTTAGGGTCTTAATGAAAAGTCTATAACATACTTTGGTTAAAATTTCTCAATGGTAGTGTGAAAAACACCCTTTTTACCTTGTCAAAATCAGCTCTGCAGAAATCAACCCGTTTTTGCATGCTGCTTTAAATGCTAATGAGCTCTGCTGACTCCGCCCCTCTCTTCTGTGGGGTGACAAACCGTGCTCTGAGAGACTGTTTACTTTAGCCGCATTTAGCCGCAAAACTTGCTAACTAGCACATTATTACGAACAGCAATTGCAAAGATTCATAAAATACCCCATGTACTCACTTCTGCTGTAAGTGAAGCTGGATCACGAATGATTCGCGCGAACATAAATGCATTTAGGCAGGTTGGGGGCGCATTCCCTTCACAAACAAAAGTAATCCACTACGTCTTCAGCGGCTCAGATGTCATGACGACTGCTATGTTCATTATTACATCCAACAACAAAACACCTCAATTGCTATGGAGCCATTCTTGTCTACTCCTGCTCCGGCGTCGAAACAATGGCGGTCGGACTGTTACAGCTCACTCAGGGCAGGTCTAAGGTAAGACGGCACTGTCAATCAACAATCGTGTGACGTCACACAGACAAGAAGCTGAGAAAGGCCTGATTTGAAAAAGGGGATATTATTTTTAGGGATTAAATAAAAACCACTGGGTGGATTTTTATCATTATAGGGTAGAAGTGTACACACACTGCAACACACATTTATGTTCAAACAACATGTAAAAGTGAAATTAGCATCCGATGACCCCTTTAAGTGTGATATCATCGTATGGAATAAATATTATTTGTAGGCTGTTTTGCACACTTAAAATCTAGTGTGACAGCCACTGTACTCACGAGTTGTTTGATTTGTATTTTGAAATATAGGCGTCACGTGATATCTTTCTATGTCACACATCAGAAAGTTTCGTTTCAGTAAATGCTTATTTTGATCTGGTGAGGTGTTTTGGCTTAACAATTTACTGTATGTCTTTATGAAAAGGTTTATATTTCAAAAGATTTTCAATGACATTCAGTAGACCATACCAAATAGGGGGTTGTCATGTTCATTGAATATGAACGTCAAACATAATAGTAAAAACACTCTTATTGCTCATGGACAAGAGGCACTTCTCAGAATGAGAAGAGAGATGTGCACATCCTGAAACGATCCAAAACAGCATCACTTCCCCTCTGAAATCCATTTACCTGATGAGGCCGCTCTCTGGAAGATCAAAGGCGGTGTAGCTCATTCACTTAAATGATGAATTGATGGATAATGCATTCACTGTTGAATGAATCAACGATCGAATATGAAGTCTGATTCTCTGCCTCTACACTTTTTCTTTTCATGATCAGAATTCAGGGGTGGTTTACGGCAGTGCCTCAACTCAGGACAGCAGGTGCAGCACGAAGGACTGTCCTGCATAAATATACACCTCTCACATTTTGATGGTGCCAGAAAGTGCAAAATCCTCTAGGGGAGGAAGAGCTTTTTCTTCCGTAGCTCCTAGGGGGATCTCTTTGTTAAGACTAGACTAAAGACTCATGTGTTTAGTCAGGCAAATAGCTGAATTCCGACAGCCCGCTCTTAATCGGGCTGTGCTAGCTCTGTATGCCGGCAGCTATTATTTTATACATCCTCCTCTGTGCACAGTGTGCAAACTCTCTGTTTACATGGAATACCCTGATGACACACTGCATCTGCTAAAATGTAATGCAAGAAATCCCATATTGCTCAATGCAATGCACTCAGTTTGACCTTTCATTTTCAGTGTGTGACAAATTGCAGTTGATGCTTCCAGTTCTTCACATCTACTTTCAATGCGTAATTTAATCAGCCTGACAAAAATAATATTTTTTGCATGAAATGTAACTTAGCCAGCCTTTGTTTTAAATGATTGTGCCTATCATAATAATGTTTGCCACGTCATTTTTAATAGTTTGGTTGTAATGTAAATAAAATTTGCCTGACAAAGGTTATATGACCAAAAGTTATTTATTCATTGATTTTTTTTCTTTCATAAAATTGAAATTGGATAAGAAATGCTAAATGAATGTACTTTTTATATAGCATGTAATTTTAGCATAACATAAAAACTAAAGCGGCAAGTATTGATAGCTTGGATTATTTGTTTCTATTATTTTATTTTATTTGTATTTATTTTATTTTCTATTTTTATTCAGTTTTATAGGGCTCTTAAAAGCTTGAATTTAACTTAATTTTTTTAATTTACTTAACATTTATTTCTACCTTTTCAGCACCCATGTGCAAAGATAGTGGATTTCAAATGCAAAATTACTATTTTTTTTTAAATAACATTTAATTTTAATTGTGTGTGTGTGTGTGTGTGTGTGTGTGTGTGTGTTTTTTTAAACTAAAGCGGTGAGGATTGATTTATTGGTTTTATTTTAATGTTTTATTAAATTTTTTATTGATTTTTTTATTTATTATTTAATTTTATAGGGCTCCTGAAAGCTTGAAATTAATTAAATTTTTAACAAATAAAGTAGATTAGAAATACGAAAAAACTGTACTTTTTAAATTGTTTATATTAAACTAAGGGGTCAAATATTTTTTATTTTTTTATTTTAGTAGCTTGAAATGAACTTAATTTAATATTTATTTCTTCCTTTTCAGCAACCATGTGCAAAGATGGCAGATTTCAAGTATGATACTTCCAGAGGTCCTACGCTAAACAGCCACCATTAAGATGAATGTTAATGGATAGCTTTTCCGGGTATTATAAACCAATTTTAATTAAAAAGACCTTGTCAGACGACCACCGGGACAAGACCACAGGAACCAGATGAGTCCTCTGCACAATGTGACTTTGCTGCAGCCTGGACTTGAACTGCTGGTTCCCTTTCAGTCGGTCACTCTCGACGTCACGTCGGATGACCGACGAAATTGGGATCTCGCTTAGAGGGACCAATCTACTTCGAGTGTGACAACTAGATGAGCCCCAGAGACAGATCCCCAATGAAGACCTTGTCTCCTAGACTGCCACCGGGACAAGACCACAGGAACCAGATGAGTCTTCTGCACAATGTGACTTTGCTGCAGCCTGAAATTGAACTGCTGGTTTGTCTGGTCAGAGGAGAACTGGCCCCCGACTGAGCCTGGTTTCTCCCAAGTTTTTTTCTCCATTCTGTCACCGATGGAGTTTTGGTTCCTTGCCGCTGTCGCCTCTGGCTTGCTTAGTTGGGGACACTTCATTTCCAGCGATATTGTTGACTTGATTGCAAATGATTGCAAAGATACTATTTAGACTGAACTGAGCTGGATGATGACATCGCTGAATTCAATGATGAACTGCCTTTAACTGAAAAATTAGTGTTTACTATTGTCATTTTGCATTATTGACACGTTATTTTCCTAATTAATGCTGTTCAGTTGCTTTGACACAATCTGTATTGTTAAAAGCGCTATATAAATAAAGGTGACTTGACTTGACTTGACTAAACATGCAACATAATGAGGTCACTGTGATCAGTTTATGCTACAGGTTGCATATTGTGCATTGTTTCGCGTACTACTACAGTATACAGTATGCTGCAGAGCGCTAGTTTTCTATTCCAAACACTTCCATTGTGTGGTGATTCTTCTTCAGATGCTGTCTGGCAGTCATGCACTGGTAATTATGCATAAAGCAGCATGCAGAAGACAGACGAGGTGAAGAAGTAATTTCATACCAATCACTGCTCATTACCTAACGAACATTGATGACACTCAGCCCTGGAGAGGCCACACAAACCAGCGCTGATGAGTTGTAATCACTTTCTTATTTACCTCTTCGGAGATAACGAGGTTTTGGAACACAATTAAGCAGTAGTCAGGTTAAAGCAGGGTAATTCCAGCATTATTTCCTACCGATGAATAATTAACACAATGTTTTATTTGCCTGCCAATGCTGGGCGTCGGAAATGCTTGTTAATTGTGTTTCCTCTGACTCGACTCTCAACAACTCTTTCGGTTTTAATTAATAGGAAATTAATTTTGCAGTGCTCTGTTTTGACATGGTTAATTTACATGTAAGTATGAGTGATGATGTACAGTATATTGGTGTTTTAAATAGGAAATATAGGTAAGTTTATTGAGGTAATTTCTGTATGAAATGTTCGCTTTCTTCGCTCTATTGACTCGTAAGAACAAAAGGTAAATTTGTAGATTACAATTTTAGGCATAAAGAAGTATACTAATAGCACACTTGAATAAACTTCTTTTTCGTAAGGGTACTGTACAAAAAGTTTGGTCTAGAGGGAAAGTGTTACTCAGAAAAAGTCTTGAACAAACAAACAAAATAGTAAGGTTTAAAACACACTTAGGGTTTAGAATTAAAGCAAAGCAGAGCAATGGAGACTTCAAAACCCTAAGTATTAAAAATTAAACTGCGGCGAGAAAGTCATCCTGCAGCATTTGTGCTCCACATCAGTTCTCCAATCATGTGTTTTGGTGAGGTGAGCTGTGCTGATACTTTACTGAGTGGTCTCACTGTTGATTTTATTTTTGTCTTTGAAGGGGCTCAGGACCAAAACATCACAGAAGCACCTTCGTAAGTGCACAGCAACACCTACAACTTCATAGTGGTAAGTTATGAATGAACAAAAAATATCTGTAAAAGCGTTAAACCTGAGCTCACTCAACATGCATGTTTTATTATTTAAATCCCAAATATACAGTCAAACTACATTATATTTTTTTCTGGCAAATAGATGTAAAATGGCTAAACATTTCACATTCAGGGAAAAAGCCTTTGAATGGCCCATCATGCACTCCTGTATGTCCCTATAAAAAGAGTTTTGCTGGATGACACAGTCATGCAGCATCACATTGTGAGATTCACTCCGTTAAATGGCAGTGGAAAGTTCACACTACAGTATTACCCACAATACATTTCACCTGACAGCTCTGTCACAGCATTTGGTAATGATTTTTTCTTCGTTCACAGATACCCTTTCTTCATTGACAGAGCTGTCATTGTGAGTTCAGAGCGAGATGTTCCGTATCTGGCCTTTTTTCTTCTGTACAGGGTTACACAAACATGCAAGTTTATGTGAGTCTGTGACGGTGAAATAAGCAAGTGCTTTAGGAGCTTTATCTTCTAGTGCAATTTGACTCAAACGGCAGAAATAAAACACATCAACACAATACTTTCAGCGTTGTCTCTGTAGCATGAATTAGTTTTTCTTTATGATTTCCTTGCATACTGTTCTTAACAGCTTTTCCATATTTTGTCTTAGCTAATCTTTGCACTAGGTAGCTCCGCCCCCAGTGGAATCTCATTGGTCCAAAATCCTATGCTGGATATTTAACCATCTAAAACCTGACATATAAAATAAATGTCAGCAAAATCTGTTTTTAATGTATTGAGCCATTAAACAAAATCTTAAAGTTTGATTTTTATTTAGCATCATATTTGATACGTGAAGCTTTTATGGCTAATATACAGTATATTGAGAATATAATATATATTCAGAGGCCCCCAAAAAAGCAAAAATATGCAATTTGGTGCAATTGCTGATATTTGCACTGCCAAAATTAAGATAATTCTGATAGCTTGTAATGTTAATCAATGAAATCATTATAACAGACTACTTACATAAAATGCATATACTTATGAGATCACTCTATATCTTCCAATAATATGTTTTTGTAAGATGATATTTAAATGCTTATTTTTATTCTCAAAGCTCTGTAGTTTTTATTGTGGGGGCAAAACATGTTCACTTAGCAGATGTAATTCAGTGCAACAGAAGCACCTTCGTAAGTGCACAGCAACACCTACAACTTCATAGTGGTAAGTTATGAATGAACAAAAAATATCTGTAAAAGCGTTAAACCTGAGCTCACTCAACATGCATGTTTTATTATTTAAATCCCAAATATACAGTCAAACTACATTATATTTTTTTCTGGCAAATAGATGTAAAATGGCTAAACATTTCACATTCAGGGAAAAAGCCTTTGAATGGCCCATCATGCACTCCTGTATGTCCCTATAAAAAGAGTTTTGCTGGATGACACAGTCATGCAGCATCACATTGTGAGATTCACTCCGTTAAATGGCAGTGGAAAGTTCACACTACAGTATTACCCACAATACATTTCACCTGACAGCTCTGCCACAGCATTTGGTAATGATTTTTTCTTCGTACACAGATACCCTTTCTTCATTGACAAAGCTGTCATTGTGAGTTCAGAGCGAGATGTTCCGTATCTGGCCTTTTTCCTTGTTCCTCTGAAGTTCTTTCATCTGTACAGGGTTACACAAACATGCGAGTTTATGTGAGTCTGTGACGGTGAAATAAGCAAGTGCTTTAGGAGCTTTATCTTCTAGTGCAATTTGACTCAAACGGCAGAAATAAAACACATCAACACAATACTTTCAGCGTTGTCTCTGTAGCATGAATTAGTTTTTCTTTATGATTTCCTTGCATACTGTTCTTAACAGCTTTTCCATATTTTGTCTTAACTAATCTTTGCACTAGGTAGCTCCGCCCCCAGTGGAATCTCATTGGTCCAAAATCCTATGCTGGATATTTAACCATCTAAAACCTGACATATAAAATAAATGTCAGCAAAATCTGTTTTTAATGTATTGAGCCATTAAACAAAATCTTAAAGTTTGATTTTTATTTAGCATCATATTTGATACGTGAAGCTTTTATGGCTAATATACAGTATATTGAGAATATAATATATATTCAGAGGCCCCCAAAAAAGCAAAAATATGCAATTTGGTGCAATTGCTGATATTTGCACTGCCAAAATTAAGATAATTCTGATAGCTTGTAATGTTAATCAATGAAATCATTATAACAGACTACTTACATAAAATGCATATACTTATGAGATCACTCTATATCTTCCAATAATATGTTTTTGTAAGATGATATTTAAATGCTTATTTTTATTCTCAAAGCTCTGTAGTTTTTATTGTGGGGGCAAAACATGTTCACTTAGCAGATGTAATTCAGTGCAATACCATGATGGCTGAAAGATGAATAATAAGTTATGTTTGACTGAGTTTGTTGTGGTTATGAATCAGTTGTTGTATTCCTCTTTTGTCGCTTTGAATAAAAGCATCTGCTAGCATCTGAATAAATGTAAATGTTTATACTGTTTGTAAGGAGTTGCTATGTGGTTGGTATGTTTTCATTGTGTTGCTGTGCAGTTTCTAGGGTGTTCTGGATTTTAATAATAAGAAAAAATGTAATTATACAGTCTGTTATTTTCTATTGACTTTCACCATTTTTTATAATCTGAGCTTGTGGAAGATTTCGAGATGTTTCCAGTGATGGACATGGTCTCCTGATCATTATCTTGAAGAGGGCGGTGGGGAGAAATTGAATCTCATGAACAACCAGCAGAGAGGAGATAATGACATGTGTCACAGATACACAGATAGTTTTCTGTGTGGCGAGATATGAGCTACATCTGTTTTTATCACCGTTTCTAAAAACAAACATGGTTGTGAAATCTTATCCATATGCTGCAGGTTTTCTTTTCTCGCAAACACTAATTAAAGCTCTCGCTTTTCCTCCTCACTGCTTTTCTCTGCAAACATCGCGCAGGTGTTACATGCCCTGGAAGATTTCGATGGGGTCCTCTTCCCCCTCCTGCTCTCTAGAAATCCTGGAGGGCATGAAGTGTGTGTGTGTGTCTGTGTCGGGCCGTGGTATGCATTGATTTTATCAGGTGTGTTAACAGTTTGCTGCATCAGTAGGTCTGAATTATTCTGACACGGTTCACCTGAGTGATCTTCATTCCTGCTGTCATCTGAACATCTGTGTACTGTGTGACACTGAAGAATATCCTAGAATGCAGGTTCAGTGTGTTACCGGCTTGTGTGCCATGTAGAACTGAACTGAAAATGCATATGTGTGTGTGCGTGCATAGATAGATAGATAGACAGACAGAGACAGATGGACAGACAGATAGATATATAATAACAAAATAGTATTAAACTAAGGTGCTTAAGGTATAATCAAAACAAGCACCTTATTAATACTACTTTGTTATTTGTAATGCATTTCTGCTGTGGCAATTTTGTATGTAAACACAATCATTTAAATTAAATAATGTTAATAATATACCCTTTTGTTTTGTTTTTCTCTAAATATGTCTTTTTCACTTCCAAAAATTATAAATTTTAACAGTATTTTACTGTAAAATTACAAAAAATGTAAAATGTAAAAAAAAAAATCAGTGTATATAGTAATGGAAATTGCCCTTAACTAATAACATGTTTTTACAGTAGAATTTTTACAGTATTTTTATAAATTAAAATATACAAATACACACACACACACACACATTTATTTGTTTGTTTGTTTGCATTTTGTGGAATGCTTTTGAACGGTACAATACTGTTCAAACTTTTGGAATAAGTATTTTATTTTCTTATTTTTTCTTATTTATTTATTTATTGGGGTGGGGTTGTCTCTTATGCTCTCCAAGGCTTCATTTATTTGATCAAAATTTTCAGTACAAACTGTATAAATTAAATTCACACTTTCAAACATTCAACGGGACTTTTTTTACATCCAAAGGGAGACAGTTCTAAATACCTGGTGTGATACAGTGTTTTTTTAACCATGGTTAAGCAATGTTGATTGGGCACAATGTGAAGCAGAGAGCCTAAATTAACAAATAAATCCCCTTCAAACATGGTGAAATATAAATATGACTGTTGAAGGAAAAGACTTTGCACTATCAAGAGACCACTTCATAGAGGGGCAAATTGCACCATTCACATTTTCCCAGATACGCAAAAAATGTAGTTACAGTAAATCATGGTTATGACCATATTAATGCATTTCTGTTCTTATTACAGCTATGATGAAATCATGCTCCTCGACACACACCGCTCTACATTTCACCATCTCACCCCGTGGCTGACTCCAGGCATTTCCGTCGTGTTTTTCTTTAATAATACATCACACCCCATAGCTAAATTCACTCCCGTTCTGCCGGGGGTTGATAATTGCTAGCGACTGGGTCTGTTTGTGCTATATATCCTAAACATCTGCTCTATTCCATCTCACGCTAATCAAACCTGTTGTTTCTCCCACAGGAAGTCCACGCCTGTCAGGGACTTTGCCTCGTCGAATTACGCCATTTAACATAACGTCCACATCAAAGTCGGCATGTGGAATAAACACATCGCCATCATTCAGCATGAGCCTTTACGGGACGCTACCGCCGATCAGTCTGCGGCAAATTCAGAGCGATGTATAATCTCCAGAAACCACAGAGTCCTTTTGATTCATGTCCGCTGTGCACAGCAGAAGTACATCTTTGTTTTATTCATAATCACCTGAGCTTCCTGATCAAAGACTCCCACGGTACCTCCATCCACCCACTTGAGCGTTCCTCTACGATTAAACGGGACTGCCTGCCCGTCTCGCACCATCACGAACCCACCATAACCTTTTCATCAGGTGCTTCCTTCATTTCAGTCTTCGATAGTTGTCCTTGTGGGAATTCTGCCTCTCTTTCTCCCCCTCTCTTTTCTTCCAGGATGAAATGATTGGGGAATAATAAAGCTTATATTCTGCTTTGATGCTTCTACCTGAATAAATTCTCATTTCCCATGTTTTCAGCTCGTCGGCGGCTCGCGGTGTTCCACATCTCTATAGACATGAAAAAGGAAGCTGGCACGGTTGGTGGCATCTTCTAGTATAAAGTAAGATGTGACAGCTCTGCGGTTGATATTGAGACACTGATCCGAGACCGTTTCGACACCTTTCATCATTCAGGTTTATTTCTACTTCTTTTTCACCACATTCATTGTTCTGTAGACTTCTGTGTCTTTCGTACAGCAGTGCTTTGTAGAAAACCTTCTGGCACAGGACGACATTTTTGTGAGTTTATTTTTTATATAACTCCTAGGCTGTCATTTGAAAAGCGGTTTATGAAAAATTATATACAATAACAGGCGTCGCTAGGCAGTTGCTGTGGTGTTCTGAGAGGTAAGCGGTTGCTAGGGTGTTTTGGGTGGTTGCTTGCTCTATAGAGTGCAAAGT